AAATTTTATTCGCCGTAATTGTACGACTGCGTCGTCGTGTCGAGGCTGGCCCTCGATTCGACTCCGAACCGAGTCGAGTCGACGCTGGGCTTCATCCAGCCTTCTCTTTAATTATATCCTCGTCGGAGCTTAAGACCACGACTCACCGAACCGACCCTCCGCCTACGCTCCCGCCGCGGCGTTCCGTGGCGCGCCGCACCGCGCGCTGCCGTGGCCCTATACCCCGGTACCGCGACGCCGCCCCCACCCCCCTCGCCGCCCCCACCTTTCGAATCGCCACCGCGCGAGACTAAGCCGTCGAGAAAGAGACACCCCCTTGTCAACGGATCTTTTACCGCCGTTCCCTCGTTAGTCGAATGTTAATGAGAAAAATCTTCGTTACGCGACATTCGAGCGAAACGTTTGCTCGCACCTCTGCCGCTCTCCTCTATTGCTCAACTATCGCGTTCACGCGTGCCGTTACCACCCTCTTGCTACCGCCGTTGCTGCAACAGCAGCCACGCTCGCTATTCCGGTAATAATAAGTCGTCGTTTGGCATAAAAATGACAGCCGCGAGTGGAAACGAATCGAATCGTTCCGGCTTTGCCGACGAAAAGTGGTGTACACGTGGTGTGGCAAACGTTTCAGAGTACCATCGCGGCCTAAGAACGTCCTCCAAGTTTAGCGAGGAGATAAAACGCGAAGGGACGAAATACGCGAAACGCGATACGGCGACGTTTCGATTTATCAGCCGCTGTCCCCCGCTACTGCAGCTACGCTTTTCGACGAATCCCAACAGTTTTCCTAACAACGTCCCGTTCCATTACACCCGTTTAAATTCGTCACTTTAATTCGCGTTAACGTCGTTTCGCGCGACAACGCTACGATATTTCGTTTAGTCTGGAATTGAAAATTACTACCGCACGAACGCGTCCCAAAACGGCGGGGCGATTGCAACGTGAATATTTAATGCAACGGCAATTATTCGAATTCGGTTGGTAAATTGGCACCATATCGATTTCGCCTGTATGCAAAGGCACAAGCGCGACCGACCGTCATACGTATAGCTAATTACGTATTTCCGCTACAATGGACATAAAAATAATCGAGATAACGGACTGGCGAACGCGCAGACACCGGCGAGACGATCGAAACCGAGCGGCGACGACGAGGACGACAACGACGACAACGACGACGACGACGACGACGACGAGGAAGAGAGGACGAGGACGAGGACGAGGATCCTTCCGATGCTCGGCGAATGGAAGATGGAAAATTTTTCCGTTTTCCGATTTGTCCTTTCACCTGGAAGCGGTTTATTGGCGAGCGACGCGTCGGAGTGGAAAGGAACGGGCTGAATTACGGAAGCGATAAAAAAGTAACGGCGGCTAGGTGTCGGACTAAGTAATCGAGGACGTAAAACATGCAACGGATTCCGCTAACGAAAACCCGGCTCTTTCTCCGACGTAATTAACGAGTGGAACGGTAATCTACGACAACGGGCGACTAACGGCAGCCGTGATCGAACGCGAAAACGCTATCGAGATGGTGGTCGAGCTGCCAGAGATATATCGACGACGGGGAGAGATGGCGCGAGAAGGAAACAACGCAGCGTGTCGCGAATCGCGATGGTTACCGCAGAGAAATATCTCGTAGCGGCTTTACCGCGCGAGCCACTGCGGATATTTCGTTTTCGTTTGCGAGGATCGGCCCGAACAGTCGGGGGAGGATGGAAATGGAAAAGCGCGTGGAAATCGTATCGCCTGGAGTAGCTTCGCGCTAGGCAACGAGCGAGCGTAGGCTACGAAAGCGAAAGGGTAGCGAAAATCGGGATCGGGGAAAGAGAAAGAGAAGGAGAGTACCGCGGAGGGTTATTAGAGCTTATTGCCATACGCGCAGCGGTGCAGCGAATAAGAGTCGGCGGGTGCAAGTACAGTTGCGCGAAGCTGTTAAAACCGTAGAGAAGGGAGAAATCAAGTGGAAATACGTAATTAGGGTACGACGAAGGTTATTCCCGGGTCGCATTTTGGGTGGTTGTCGAGTCGGCGCGGTCTAGACGCGGTCGACGTTGCAGCTCGATCGTCGAAAGGAACGACGTTTCGAAGAATTGTCAGCCGAGAAGAGACCGAGTCGGAAACGGTCAATTATGATGCTCTTGGGAAATAACGATCCATCGATAAACGCGCATCTCCATTTCCAGTGGAAAATGAGACGACAACTCCAAGACGATACCGCGGTGCATTTATCAAAGAAGAATACGGTTTACGTGGAGGCACGGCGGAGACGAAGAGGCTGCGCGATATTCGAGAGAAAGAAGGAAACCGCAAGAGGGCAAGTTAGACGGAGTGTGGAGGAAACGAGCAGGAAAAATGATGAGCCAGAAATAATTAGCGGGGTTGCAGAGAGCAGCCGACCGAACGCAGATGTGCCAAGTCTGTATGAAAAATTAATGACATCCCGTTCTCGTGCTCCCCCTTCCACGCCACCCCCAACCCTTTTTTACTTCCCTAGCGCCAAGTTTATTCCCTCTTCGCTACTTTTTTTTTTTCTCCTTTTTACTTAAGCCCGATTTCCCTTTATTGCCAACCCTCTTTTGACGATCTCGCGTGTCTCGACGAAATTTAGCCGCGCCACGATCCCCGATAGGCTCTATAATTATCCCGTTTTATCTTCATCAGGTAGGGTGGCTCTGGGGGAACAACTCGCGACCAAGGAAGCGATATAACCGCCGTTCAACCGTTTACTCCGAGAGAACGTTTTCCATTCGAGTCCGGCACACGCTTGGACCCTGTGTGTTCGTTTGTTCCTCGTGTCTCCTCCTCTACACGCGTCACGAAGAACGTGTTTCGTTTCTCGTTTCTCGTTTTTCGTTTTTCGCTGCCGCTGCATACACCATTTTAGAACCATTCTCTTCCCTTTAATTCGTATCCATTAACGCGCGTCGATCACTTTTCTGTTTTCCCGTCCCAGCGTCCCGATGTCCCGACACGCGCGGTCTCATCGCCATTCGTCCCGTCCCGTCCTGTCCCGACTCGTCTCGTCTCATCGCGTCTCGTCTCGTCGCGTCGCGTCGCGTCGCGTCTCGTCTCGTCTCCGCGTTGCACAGTATCCCGTCGTGCCAAACTCCGACGTCGTTTTTCACAAATTTGCACGGCATAACGATCGATAAGTTACATACGCGACAGTGGCTCGACCTGCTGCTTCGTAACAACGGAACCAACGATCGACGCCCGTAAAAGCGAAACCATTGATCCGTTTAAAACGATCGCTCGTCCTGTTATCGCTACTCTATCGGTGTTTGGCTCGCGCGTTGTCTCTTCTTTATCTTTGCCTACATCGAAGCAAGCGTTTCGGGGAAAACTGGTTTCCCGTAAACTGACCTTGTTTGGTAAACTGCGAAGACCCTCGAGGACCGGTGAAAATCCGAGGAAAATCGAAATTCTAGGCTTCCCGCGAACCGGATGCTTCGTTTAACGAAGCATGCACGCGCAAATGCCATACGCGGCCACAAATGGAGTGATGGAGAAATATTTACAGTTAATATTATCCTATTATAAAAGCGGCGACCGGCCTGTCGCGTTCGTCGGTCCGCGTTATAACGCAGAAGTATTGATAAACGAGAGAACCGACGCGTCCGTTCAGCATAATACGGATAATTTATGAACGCAGCCAGGCGACCGCGTTTCGCTTCTATTCCGTAATTAACTCGTCGATTTCTATCCTTTCCGAGTGTCTTCCAAAAGCTCGCAGGGGCCTTCGATATCCCGGTTAGCTGCATGTTTTATTTATTCATGCTAATCCATTCTCTCTCATGGATCATCTTACCGTTAAGTTTACCGTCTGAAAATTCCATATCGGATTCTCCCATCCTCGTACCTTGTAGTCCCCCGTATCCCGGTACAGCTCGCAAAATCCCGGAAGCGATTTCCTCGGTTTCATCTAGACGAGACCGACGTCGCCTCTCCTTTCCTTTTTATTGCCTTTAAACCTTAGTATTTAGCCGATGGAACATGATTTCGCATCCTCTCGCGACCGTGGTTTTCGCAAAGCTTTACGAGTTGACCGACGATTTCGCGTTCGCTCGTTTAATTATTATCTTTGCACTGAGAGCCGTGCTTCTTTACGCGAGATTTTTACTTTTTCCCCCCTTCCAACCACTTTTTCTCCTTTCCTCCCGCGTTACCTCTCCCCGTTTCTCTATTTCTCTCCTTCTCCATCCCCATCTATCCCCCTCTATCCCTCTCTATCCCTCTCCCTCGTCAGACTCGCGTACCGGAACGTCATAAATTCCAGCCATCCTACCCTCGAGTCTCTTACTCACCACCCTTTCCCCTCTTCCTCTTCCTCTTCCTCTTCCTCTTCCCTTTCCTTTTCCTCTTCCTCTTCCTTCTCTCCCTCCCCCCCCCCACTCTTGCGCCTTTCTTTCCACCCTCTACTTCTTTCTCCTACTTAACGGTTTTCGAATCGTTTCTCTCTTTCCATCGCGTTTCCGCGGGTACGTTCTCTCGTTTCGGGAAAACCGTGACAACGTGGAAGAAGCGACGGAACGTAATTAGAAAAAGTGTCATTTTTAAACCGTTCCTTTACATTCTCCGTTTCGCGCACTTCAAAGCAAGAATCAGCATTTCCGCCCCGCTTCTCTTCTCTCCGCTCCTTTTTTACCTTTCCCCATTTCTTTTTATTTTCCTTCGCTTTCCCGGCAGGATTATTCGGTTAGAGAGGTAGAGGAGAGTAAAGGCGCCGAGAGGGAAGAAACCGAGGAAATCTGCGGTCACTCGCTACTCGCGGCGCAGGTCGGAAAGCGTCGATCGACGCGAGACGCCAACGTTTTGCTCGGGTCACGCGTTTGTAATTAATGGTTCGGCATCGACGATGTACATTTGTCGGGAAAGAAATATCTACGGTACTTTGCCGCGATCATCGCGAGAACCTCGCGCTTTTTCCTACCTTTTGTAGCGTATTCCTTGGAAAGAAATTTCAAACGAAAGGAGATAAATTTACAGCGTGTAATGCAACTTACCCTCTTGCCCGAGGAGCACGGCGATTAAGAGCAGCGTAAGATCCATCGTCGAGCACGTTCCCTGGGCGATCGGTCCTGTAGATCGTGAGCAATCTCCTCCGCCGTTGCTTTATCCACTGTCGATGTTCGACTTTTCGATCTTCTTATACCCTATTCCCAGCTCCAGTTCCGTTCTATCGCTCGATTCTTCCTTCTTCTGACACGCGAACGACGATCACTGACGATCTATCGGCAAACACACACGTTCGTACGTACCACGGCACTGTTACCACCCTCTTACGAAACGCGTCGCGTTTGCATCCGATTTCGGATGATAATAACCGATCACGTAGACGGGGATCGAGCGAAACGTATCCGGTCCCTCGGTCATCGTCTTTTATCCATTTATCTCGCGACTCGGATTATCGTGTCCCGATAAGGTTAAAACGAACGGTATAATTGTTGAGCCGCGTGTCTCGACGAGAGTCGCGGCGGCGTTTAAGGGGAACCGAAGAAAAGGAGTCGCGTCTCCGTTCGCGACACGACCGAACGACGACGTTGCAAATGCCAAGGGAGAGACAGGTCGGCGGCTCGACCCTTCGCGCTATTGCATCTCGCACCCTCGTCGAGAGGGTTTCTTCGGGACTTGGTTTAAAAGTCGTCTCGAGCGTTAAATACTTCTCACCGAGATTTCCAAGTTTCCGCGATTTTTGAGTAGCGCTGCGTCATCCGATCTCTCGTCCGATAGCGTTGTCGGCGATAGTTTGGCACCGAGACAGGCCCGTTAAGAGGGTGGGTAATTTTCAGCGGAATCTCGAACAACGATCGCAGCGTCGACGAAAAGTAACAGTCGAGGATATCTCGGACCGGTCGGCCCCGCTCGAGGAACTTGGAAGGAACTGAAAAATTCGTCGGAATCTCGAACGAAAAGTATCGGGAATCGTATTAACCGAGTTACCGAGTTGTTTTTTATCCCGAGTATCGTAGCCAGATTTAATAATTAACTCTGACTTTAAACAGGTTGAAAGAATTAACGAACAATCCCGGCGAGAATAACTCGAAGCGATCGCCTGGAAAATCTGGATAGCTATTTTCGTTTGAATAGCCGTGAACGAGAGGAGCGGCAGAGAGACGGCTGGAGAAGGAAAGGTGCGAGCGGTGGAAAGAGAAAAACGAAAGTATACCGGCGTACGGAAGGTACGGCTTTTAAATGCAACTTGTTGCAATCTCGACCAAAGCTCCGAGGCTCCTTCGACTAGGAACGCGCACGTGTGTCCTTTGGCGAGCGTGCACGCGTCTTCGTACACGTGAATCGATCGTGCGATGCCCAAAGACCGATTTCACCCGACTCCACCGACGAATTTACCTTCGATCGAGCGAAAGGGTGTGCCATCCTCGCGAATGGTCCATCAACCACCTCCACCTCTCGGGCACGTATATCGCGTCGCGTAGAATACGAATAACTGGATCGAGATACGCGGAAAAGTCATCGATTCGCCCGTCGAAATTGTTAATATCGCGAAACGCGGCGCGTCGTTAGTTCCGAGCAGCACGGAATCTCGAGGTCAACTGCTGCCATGTGGACAGACGACGACCGAATTATTAAACCGAGCTAGGCCGATGTTTACTCGGCGGTACCGACCGTTCGCAACCGCACCACCGATCCTTTGTTTTTCTCTCGTGGCACGTGCACGCCAGCGTCCGTCTACGTGGACACACGCACACACCGCGATCCGATTCTCTTTCTCTCCCTCTCAAACTCGCTCCCCGTTTCCAACTGTATGACGCGAATGCGTATTGATTTGACCGAGACTATTCCCTTTCGAATCCATTCAAAGAAGGGGTGGAGCGTGTCGAGTGTACCTGGGTTCGTTTATTTGTTGACATAATTGCAGCGACGCGATCAATTCGTCACAGCCGATAACCCCTATGCGAGGAATAGGGCCGCCGATCGATAGATCGATAGTCCACACCGACGACGATGACGACGATAGCGGCGGCGGAGGCGGCGGAGGCGACGGCAGCGGCGGCGAGCACCACGACGGCAATGGCGTTCCTTTCTTGGAACGACTAAATCGAAATTCTCGTTCTATCTACGTGAACGGTATTCCATTTGCTCGCACGTACTCCATGATCCCTCGATCGTTCGAGATATCCCCTTCTACCGCGCTTAATCGAATTTCAAAGTTCTCACAGGGACTAAACGCTGATCTTCGATTGGGATTAAGAGCGGCTTACCGCAACGCCGCGGATAGCGGCTACTTCTGGAAAGGCTACTTCCGGTTCATCGAGTGCACACGGTCGTTGTCCTTCCGTAAGCCAGCGCGATCCGAGTAGGTACGGTTCGTCGAAGAGTCGAAGGGAAAAGAAAAGAAAAAATAAAAGGAAAACATAGAATGCGAACGACGAAAGATCGCGAGAACGCGAGACGGTGCAACGATCGTAGAGCGACTCGGTAACAGGTTCGAGAGTTTGCTCCGACGAGAGACGGAGAACCCGGGAAATTCGAAAGTCAGAACAACGAAGGAAACCGATGATCGATGGACGAGAGACTCCTTTGCTTGTCCGAATTACTTGTTAAACGAGAGATCGGATCGAGAGCGAATTTAGCTCGCATCGGGCGAAGGCGCGACGCGGCGCGATGTGACACGAGCTGATTCGAGGATCGTCTCGGAGGGAAAGTTCGCGTCGCGGATGGCCGATGCCGACTACGAAAGCTCGACGTCGCGCCAGTTCAGGTCTGTGCGCCGGTAGGTCGTATACCTGGGCGCTTGCGCGTTGCGAGTCGAGCAGGTGCGAAATGCACGCGGCTCTCCACACCGAAAGATCCGATACGCGCGCGTTCGACGACACGACGAGCGGCGAGTTTGACCACGACTGCGATCCCAACTTTGCTTTTCGACGTTCGATCGACCGAAATCTTGCTCGGTGTCGGTGAATACGGGCAAGAGTCGCGATAAGCCAAATCCGTCGATGGCCCTATCTTTCGTTTTCCCGTATTTTCGCATCCAATTCGTGGATACGGATGTCGAGTTAATACGGATATCGTTCTAATATCTTTGCTCGATCAATTCGCTACCCCACTCTCCTTTCCGTCTCTCTAGCTCCCTCTCTTCCATCCTTTCGGAACTATAATCGATATTACCCCACGTTTCGTAATTATCAATATCCAGCCTCATTCGCTAACCAGCCCTCGTGTGCAAGCCCGATCGATACGAAACAACGGTTAATTCCACTCTGATTGTTATTAGTATTCACGGCTTTGGAAACGTGTTCCATTTCCGATCGTACCGGGGCGAACTTCCTCGGAGGGAAAATTGAAAATAATCGATACGAAAGGGGATTTCGGATCGAGTCGCGTTTCTCGTGAAACTGCTACTTCGCGACGATAGGCATCGAGGCGAGTATCGAGCCAACGGAGCGAATCGTACGTAGGTACACACACGTCTGAACGATCAACGGGGAAGATGGAGAGTCTAGAGACGAAGAAGGCTAAGAGGAGAGAAACGCGGAGGCCGATGGGCGAAACAATTATTCCCGTTGTTCCGCTATCTCTGGAAAGCCGATGCGCAAGAATGGATTCGGGGGGTACTTTAAAGGCGATAATAAGCTCGGTCGTTTGTAAACGCGTGCCGCGGGGAAATCTTCGCAAATGGAAAAAAGAGGGGAAATTAACTTTCTACCGTTTCCTTCCCTCGACGATTCGTCGACGAAGCGAGATCTCCGTTTTCTCTTCGGAGAAAGAAACGCGTTTGCTCGTACCGTTGCGGGATCTCCCGGCCGTTACAGCTACGAACGCAGTAGATTCAACCGGCATAAAAATTTCTTCCTAACGGGATAATCGTTTTTTCCCGCCTCTCTAGGCTTCGTTCTCTTCCACTTTGCTTCACTTTGTTCCGCAAACTGAAACTGACGCAACAGCCAATTTCGTTCGTTACGGTAACGATAATGGTAATTGTTAACCGTGCGCGTTCTACATGCGGCGAATAGAGCATTACTACGAGGACTACGAGGACTACGACGACCACGAGGACTACGACGACGACGAGGACTACGACGACGACGAAGGGGGAAACTATTCGCTCGTACTCAAGATCAAAGCCAGCTTCTTCTCGATGATTCGCGGCAGCTATACCCCACCAGCTCACCGATATCGTTTTTCCGGCCGATCTCGCTGGATGAAAATCGAGAGTCAAACGAGGACGCGAAGACAAAAACCATTGGGATATCAGCGTAACCAGCCATCACGGTGCAACGCATGCGGTGATGCATTTATCGCGCGACCAACAGACGTCCCGATAAAATCGTTGTATCCGGGCTCTCCGCCGGGATGCAGGGGAGAAGGTAGACGGGGGGAAAACGCGAAGAAACGCAGCGGAACACGTCGAAATCTCGTTCCCTTTATGCTCGTTGCGGTGCTCCTTTGAAAACAGTTGCGGTACAAATCCCAGTTCGTAGGTATAGACGATAAATTCCATTGCGGTTTGCAACGGATTGAGAAGACAGCGAAATTGTTTTCGCTGAAAACCGCGCATATGGTCGACCCAACGATTTGCGGTTATGCCATCAAAGACGTTGTACTTTGGCCAGCAGCATCTACGAAATTGGCGTAAATCGATTATCCGTTCGTTAATCGAGCGACGCGCGCGCGTTCGCGATCGAGTCCGTAGACGGAGGTTCGGGGAATTGCGTCGTACGCGTGTAAGCGATTTCTCATTCGCGCCGCGTTTAACGGAATATCGAAACGCGCTCTATGGCGATCCGGTTTCGTTTTCGTTCTCACCGACGTCGTTGCATCCGTCGAGATAAGTTTACCCGCCTACGAAAAGCAGACGCGGTAGCCAATGGCAGACTGCAGATCGTTCTTTGTTAAAATCGCGCTTATCTCCGAATGAATAATTCATCGTCTCGTTTATCTTTTCCTACCGGTGGAGCTCCGCGAAACGGTCAACGTTAAAAATGAAATTAACATAAAACGAGGCAACGAACGTGATTTAGGATGCATAAAAAACTTCCTCGCGGAGTAGATTTCGCTTCGAGTGCAACGTTAACGCGCTCCATACCGCGCGAGAGCTTCATATCGGTAGCCGGTCGGCTGCGGCGATCGCTTTCCAGTCACCGTTATATGCAAACGCGAACCAACCGATCGAGAATGTACATAAACAAAGCCAGAACGTGAATAAATAAACCGATATATCGCGCATCGTCCATTCTCAAAGGCGCGACACCCTTTGGCGCATATCCTGACGGAGGATCGAGAATGAAAGAGGGCGATGCAAGATATATTAATCGTCGGTATCCGGCATCGGAGTCCGCGCGTGGACGCGAATGCTAGTTTCCGATCTGTAGGACGGATCGCCATTAACCTCGTGACCGACCGAAAGCTAAACGGCGCGAAGCGTCCTAGTAAAGCGTAGCCCGCGTACGCGCGCCGCCATCGCGATTCCGTGCTTATCGGGACGGAAAGTTTCTTCGATCGACACTTCGATTCCTTGGGATTCGCGGAGCAACTTTCGCCGATGCAACGCGCATTCGTACGTAGGAAGCTCGCGCTACTTAACCCGAATAAATAGAAACGTTCCGCGCGTCTGCCGGAAGATAGTATCGACCATCCTTTCCAGCTCGTCGCACTGGCAACCTCCGCCTCTTCCACCTACCCCGACCCCTGCCTGCCTCCTCTCGCTTTAGCCCTCGACCTCACCCTCGCGTTCGGCTCTCGCCAGCCTCGACACAACCGTCGCTCGCGCCCTCCGTCTCAAGCCCTGTTGCACCACCTCGAGCAACCTGACCGTCTGAAACGTAACCTGCTCCGGCGGAAGGGGAGCGAAGGGACGACCGGAGACCGAACTCGAGGGTGTAGCTTTCACGACCTTTCCAGTCCTACGGAGTTAATATTTATCGAGGCTGCCTGTAATTTTCTTCGGAGAGCCGGCTGCGTTCTCCTCGCCGGTGTTACCGGGATGGAACCAGAGGGAAGAGAAAATAATTAAGGTAACTCCGACCAATCTTCGTGTATTCGGCGGTACGATATTTCTTTTTCCTGCTCTTGGTTGGTCGACCGAGACACGCTTTCCATTCGGTGAGTAGGCCCGATGTTGGATCGTTCCGGTGAGATCGTTCGAATTATTGACTTTGCTCCGAACCTTTCTCTTCTACTCGGGACTCGAGTAATCGAGAGTCTCGTTCGCGAGTTTTACGACTTCGCGTACGTTCGCAGGCTCGTGTCTCGTCTTCCTTCTTCCATGGAATCGATTCGTGTTTGCACAGCTATCGAAACTCTGTTTTTTTGCCTTTTCCTTCGTCCCTACGTTCGTTCGTTCCACGACGACGACGACGACGACGACGACGACGACGACGTACATTGCCTCGGGACACCGACGTCGCGACCCGATCCATCCACGTTATCGATGTTGAAATCGACGACGCACGACCGAATACGCTCTTCGCTCGTATAAACGCGCGTTTCACGGTAGCCGAAGAAGCAAAGATATCCCGTATCGGAGCGTATAAGAGAACATCAACAAGTTTCGTGGTCGGGACGAAAGGACAGACCGTAGCGAGGGCGTTAGGTAGGAGGCATACGAGGGCACGAGGCGCGAGACAGAAAGCACGAGGCACGAGGCACGAGGCACGAGGCACGAAGCACGAGGCACACAGAGGATCGAGAGCTAGGAATCGTAGTAGCGCAGCCACGGTTTCCGTTGTGTTTCTGCTCGCTACTTGCCGCTTGATTTACAACGTAGCCACCGCGTTTGCTATCGAGCACGATTCCCACCTGCCTCTCTCGATTAATTGGTCCACCCTGTCGCGGTGTTAATTTATAGGCGTGCCAATCGGTCGGCGCGAATTGTCAACAAGTGGCTGATTCTCCGCGAGAGTATCGCAAGGCGAGAACGGTGACCGCGTCCCCGGGATAACGCGAATTTTCATCTTTTTTTCCTCTCTAGTTCGGCCACGGCGATACACCGAAATTCTCCTCTCGGTGAAAACGCTCGACTCACCTAGTTACGGTGACATCGATCGAGGCGCCACGAGGTTGAAAGAAAGCCGACAAAAAGGCCGGGGAGAAAGAAAAAGGGGGAAAGAGGGAATAAAAATTAACGGCAAAGCGAAGGTTCTCGGAATGGAGCGATGTCGGGTTGGCGATCCTCTGGGAGGCCGAAAATGCACTTTTTATCGCGGTACATCTTGTATGCGCCGCAGTATCAGGCCCGCGCATACATATTTCCTAGCACGTTTCCCGCACGTAGCCCGCTCTACGGCCACGTCCCCCGTTCTCGATCGTCTCCTACGGCTAGGTAAACGTGCAAGGTCGACCGTGTTCGTGCCTTTACGAAGTATCGAAGAATCAACGAACCGTTCCACGAGAAGACAGAGGACCAGGCCCAGGGAACCGTTCGTCGACTCGACGCTCTCCTAAAATTCTCCGTGGATTCTGCAAGCGACGCTGCTCGCGCAAAAAAGACTCGAGTGGCGACGTCCGCTTGGGACAAGTTTTTCTTCGGGAAACACGTAGACCGGAGTATATTAATCTAGCCAGCGAGCAAGAAAGTAGGAGAGGTATGCGCGGGATTCCGAGTGTACGGCGACAAGAAGATTAAGCGCGGCCTCTCTTGGCTGAGCCGTCCCTTCCGGCATTTAGTCGGCCATGGAAAGAATACGGGAAACGACGCGCGTTGAGTTAGGCGAGGGTCGGGTGGGCGCGGGGCGAGGCAGGAGATGTATTTCTAAGCCGATTCTAGGCTCGATCCGTTTACCTCTGACACGCGCGAGTAAGGTGCGAGGCGAGTATTTCAGTGATAGGAACGGGTGTCCTAGTGGCGCGGGCGGGGTCGAGCCGTGTGTGTCGTTAAACGATCGTCCAACGATCGATTCGCCAGTCGTGGAAATAGGACGGGAAATGTACCGTTCATTGGATCCTGGCTAATTTCACCGATAAAACGAGGAAGACACTCGGAGCAAAAAATTACCTCTTGATTAAACGAAACCCAGGCTACCGTGGTCCATCCAAGACGCGTCTACATTAATCCGTCAACGATCGCTCTCGTTCCCGGGGAGAAAGATTTCTGAGAGCCGTTTTAAACCCGATTAACGGCCAAGACGTTCCAGCTCTTGACTGCTCGCGCGTCTCGTAACGTATGCTGCCTTAACGACTCGTACGCGATGCAAGTTCCAACGGTTCTCGCTGGAACGTACACCCCACCGGCACGAGTCTTTAATCAATTATGCAAATGATTTGCGGACTGCCGCTGTACTTCCTTCCTTCCCTTTCCGTCCCGAGGACCACGCGCAATCCGGAGTTCCCTTTCTCTTTGTACCCGCGTCGCTTCTCCTCCCAGCCGGTGTACACTCGCGCGGTCTGGACGCCTCGTCGCGTCCCTATCCTCTCCAAACACGCAGCATCGCGTATGCACGCATTTCGCTTCTTTCCTTCCATTCCCGACCAACTCGGTCAGCTCGTGGCTTGTTTATTAAAACTTTTCGACTAACTCGCTTTACACGCGCGTTCGTTTTTCATTTTCTCGGCCGCGATATATTATTTAACGTTTCTCCCCGTTTCTACCTTTGAAATTCCTACGGAAAATACGCGTTCGTACCTCCCCCTTTTCTCCGGCCTGGTCGGCGACCAGCCATGACTCCGCTACACCTAACCACCGTCATCATCCCTGCCGTCTCTCTGCCAACGTGGCTTCGTTTCGCATGTGCATAACCTTTTCGTATCTCCGGTCCCTCTTCCGCTTCACGTCCACACTCGTTTCCAGCTTTCCTTCTAGTTCTCCCGGCTGTTCGCACGCTTTCTCGCTCGTTTCCTCGCTCGTTTCCTCGCTCGTTTCCTCACTCGCTCGCTCGCCCGCCTGCCCGCCGACCCACCCGTCCACCCACTACGGCGGTCCTCTTTCTAACGAGTTATGTTTCGCGCCCTCGTCGCGAAAGTTCGGATACGAGATTACCGTGCTGGTCTGCTCTCGAGCTTCGTTCCCGATATTATGGAAAACGCGAGGGGTAAAGTCGCGAGAGCTCGATGCCGGGAAACACGAGGATGGGAGAGGAGACGGAGAACACGGGAAACGAGCCCAGAGTATCGTCGATCCTCCACTAGACGACGACTCGGTGGTCCCTACCAAAGGAGTGAGATTTAATGCACGCTCCGCGCCCTTATCGTTACGCTCGCTGGAAAACATCGGTGTTTCGATAAGAAACAAGACGCGCGAATTTATCATGGCAATGTCGTCGCGCTTCTACCGCTTTTCCTAACAATGGCGACACGCTTCGAAAGGAAAAGTGCACAGATATCGAAATATCCGGACGAACTGGAGTGTATCGATAACAAACTTTTGCCGCCGACGCGAGAACGAATAGGGTTTCGGGAAATCTCGAGTTGCGCGAAGCGACCAAGGATGCTTGGAAGAAAATTGCGCGAAAGGAGGATGGTTTCCAAGCATACTTGCCGGGGTTAAAACGCGCCGCGTATGCATGTCGCATTTCGCGTTGCTCCAACTTTATTCTTACTACCTTTGGAACCCGGTTGCAGGGATAACTAGGCAGAGAGATAACATCCGGCGGTAAACATACGTCGCGCTCCACGTCGGTCAGCTTTCAAAGTGTTTTCACGATAAACGACTTTTGCTTTTCCTCCATAAATTACGCCGGAATGTTACACACGCGTGCGCGCGGCTCTCTGGATATCGAGCTATAGAATTTAACGATTCCAGTTTTTTATAGAATCGATTCGGCCGGTATATCCACCCGTTTGGTATTTCGGTTCGCCGATGACGCGTGAAGAACGTCGTAAATGGGTCGTCGTCGTCGTCGTTGATACCAAAATCAGTCGATAGGATTGTAATGTCACGGGTCAATGCTGTATTATTTAAGATTCCTTCTTGTCGTGCACTATCGTTTCCTGATGGTAATCGAGATTGACGTTTATTTCGCGATTACGAACTACGCGCATCTACTCGTGGAAAAGGAAGGTAAAATTTTATCTACGAATGCACGATGTACGCGTTGGCCGAATAGATGGACCGTTAGGTTCAAGTAGGGTGAAGTTTGGAAAAGTAGGATCGCGACGGAGAGCGTGGCCGATTAGACGTAGAGGAAAGCGTTTGCTACGAAAGCGAGAGCGGAATAGCGGTTGTCAAAGTTTCGCGCCGATTGCGGGAACGAATCGAGAATTGGCTGACCAAGATCCGACGAACTGCACCGGAAGTCGACCGGTGAGTCGGTCCGAAGGAACTTCCCATCGAATTAGAGAAAAGTGTTCTCGTGGCGTCCCGTGCACACCAGCTACGACAAAGTTCTCCGTTAATCTCCTGGAAACCCCTACGGGTCTCGATTTATCGACGATATCCGATACGCGAAGCTTCTTCCTCCGATTTATTCCACCCCCCGCCTCTACATCCACTTCGCTTTCCCTTGTCCAACGACCTTTCTCCTTTCGCGCCTTGCTTCTTCTTCGTTGCACTCGCTATCATCTCGCTCCCTTCTTCCCCCCTCATTCGTAATATACCTCGGTCGGACGTTTCACGAACAAACTCGTTGTCTGTTTCGGTGTATCGTAGATACGTCTGGCGTCTCGAGTTCCGGAAAATACCGACCCTCCGCGTACCGCCGTGGAATAATGCGACTGTCTGCTACCGAATTCATCGCGGTGATGTCGAGAGAGAGAGAGAGAGAGCGAAAAAATCAATCGTCGTGAAATGGAAATTGCACGAATCGATGATCGCCGATTCGCGAGCATGCAGCGCCGAATCTTTAAATTCTAACCCATCGCGGTTCTTCCGTTCCCTCCCATTAGGAGGAACCTTGGTCAAGCATCGCAAATAGAACAGGGAAACTGCTAAAATTGTCCGTATTCGATAATGCGACGATGAGAAAACGAGGAATCGGAAAAAAACCGCTCGAATCGGACTCGCTCTCGACTCGTTACTTTGAATTATTCGAATAATATTTTCCTGTCTGGCTGAGAAATCAATGCGTCTACCCAGGCGATGCATAATTCATGGCATAGTATCGGACAGATCGAAGATTAATAGGCCTGATCAGACGCTCTCTAATCGAACGCTTACCGCCTACTTTATTCCTTTCTCCCTTTCACCTTGCTTCCTGCTTCCTCTTCTCTTTCCCCTTTCGTTTATCTCCTTCGGAAGCTGTCTCGCATCCCGCGATAAAATCAATGGATAGCCTCGGGAGAGGACGAATTCCAACGATTTCGAGATCCAGAATTTTCCGTGTATCCCCGCAACAGAAATCCTCGTTTCTCCGGACGCGCTCTGCTCTCGTACCCCTCTTCGACCCTCTCTTTACGCGAGCAGTAAACTTCCAATTAGACGTTTCATCCGCGTACGGTAACTCGTTCGACCTGTAGCGCATTCCGGACGATCTTCGCAAACGAACGCCAACTTGTCCGAGAACGAACTAACGCGCGCGAGTAAAACGTCGAAAGCGATAATCGTACCGGGACGATAGCGAGTTTGTCCGAGAACGAACGAACGCGCGAATGAAACGTCGAAAGCGATCGCGATATTGTGGCATGGAGGGGATCGAGGGTGGACCGCGGTCTCGGTCGGTGTGGATTATCCGATCGAAGGTGGAAGAACGATGCTCGACATGGCGGCGTCGCGGTAACGGTTAACGAGCAAAACTGTTTTTAAGCGAAACGACGCACGAAGGTGCCGACGCCGAGCTTATCTTAAACGGAAAGCAAGTTTCCTCGGATAACTAGGAGCCCGGCCAATAAAAGTTTGTCCTCGCATAATACGAGAAGAAACAATTTTGAACCGCATTCCCCGTGCGAAGACCTAATTGAGACGAGCACGTACTAGCCAATAACTTTCGAGTTCTACTCCGGAAATTAAATGACGTGACGCAAAAGCCAAACGCGCTCTCGGCTAGGGAAAAAAATGGCCGAGCACGGAGTTTAAAAGGAACTGCAGGGCAAGACGACGGAATACCGCGCGTTTAGTTCGAGTTAACCCAACTCGGATAAGACGAGTCGAGAATACATTTCGACATCGCGATGGAAAAACTTTTACATCGATGCAACGCGAAAAAAAGGAAAGAGGAAAGAGGAAAGAGGAAAGAGGAAAGAGGAAAAAGGAAAAACAGAAAAACATCCATCATTTTGGCTTCCCTCGCGACAGGCGAGCAGTTTCACATTTTTCCACCGTTCGATTCAGTCGTCCCGAACCAGGATCCTCGGACGACCGCGATTCTTCTCTGCCCGATAATCCACCGTAACGAAGGGAAACGAAATACGCGATACTCTACTCTCTTCTTCGTCCTTCCTCTCCCTCTCTCTCTCCCTTGCACGAGAAACTTTCGTTCTCGAGACGTTATCGGTATTTCCACGAAGATTCAACAGTGCCGTTCCGCGTGGCAACGAAACGCTGATTCGGGCAAAATTGCAAACGATTTGCTCATTACCGCGAAACGCTTTAGAACGCTTAAGAACGTTGAAAGTGCGGCTAACGGAGAATCGATGACGATTACCGTTCGCATTTTAAACGCGTTGCAACGACACGGGCAATCGCGTACACGAGGGCGTTGCGAAACGGAGAGATTAAAAATATCCCGTGCACGCTGGCATACAATCGTCGATTGGCCAGAGCCTCCAGATGTCGGCTATACGTCATGCCGATACACATTGCGCGAAGAGAAACGTTACGCGCGCAGCGGTTATATCAATTTTCAGTGAGCGAATTTCACCGTCCCTTCGCGGACCAACACGGAGCATACAAATTGCCATCACGACTGCTAACTAACCGTGCGAGCCTGATGAACGAAAAACGACCGGCTATAAATAATGCGACACAACGTCACGGTGTAACGAGATCGATTAGACTCGATGCTCGCAAGAAGAAGGAACGTGACCGAATTCGCGCGCGTTCGAGAAGCCATCGTGGGGCAGGGAACGATGCGAGGATGGAAAAGACGTACTAGCGCGATTAGGCGTAAGATGCGACGAGATTCGTACGCGATTCCGGAGAAGAGGGGAAAAGAGAGAAAGGGAGAAAGAGAGAAAGAGAGAAAGAGAGAAAAGGAGAGAGAGAGAGAGAAAGGGGAGCCTGTGGGTGGCGGGTGGAAAACGTAGAGGCGCGTAACGCGGAGAAGAGTGCCGGTAGGAGGCATATAATGGCGAGTATTACGGGCACTTAGTCACTTTTGTGCTTCGGCCGGCATTGTGCTAAGACAAAAGATGGCGAATCCCCGGGAGCGATTCAACTGTCCCACACGAGCCAGTCGGCGGCACTCGAATAACTACGAGGGGCTCAGGGCAAAATTAAGCCGAGCGAGATGGTGCGGCAATTCGCGAGCGTTCACAAACACTCGCTCCTCTTACTCCTCCTCGTTTGTTACGGTCACGATACGCTTGCACGTTCAGTTCGCCTACCTGCTACTCGCAAATGGAAGCTACACGCTACCTTCTTCGTGTTCGAGTCGTCCGCGCACCGTGCCCGGGCCTCTGCTCGCCTCTGCTCGCCTCTGAAAGCTCCGATACGCATTGTGCCGTTCCCCTTTGTTATCTTTTTCTGTCGCAAGTTTACGCGACACGCCGCCCCGCGCCGAGCCCGCTGTTAGTTTCGACTCCGACAATACCGCGCTCCTTCCGCTTTTTCTTTTTCTTTCCTCCTCCTCCTCCTCCATCCCGAGCCAACGCGAATTCGTTACGCTTCGAGCTACAGACGTTGGTTACCCTTTTCTGATTATCTTTTCACCCTGGTCCCTGCCTATCCTTTGAGCGTCGTCGCACGCTCGGGCCCATCCCTCTTCTCGGCTCCACTTGTTCGTCTTCGCTGCCTGTTCCCTCCCGTAATCGAGATAAATTTCCTCGCGAGATTTTTAAAGTCCATAAAATTTGCAACGGCGGACAATATCGTGGCTCGCAATATCGGGAGAGGCTTCTCGTCCGATCGTCTGTCCTCGGAGTTTGCAATTCCGAATCCGGGAACGTCGAAGAATCATGAGAAAGGGAAGACGTACTAAACTTATAGAGAAATAGGCGGAACGATTCGGAAGACCACTCGGTCGCGGGCTCTTTCATCTCGACATCAAAAGGCAATTCCTGAAATTATGGAGATTTTTCCGAAGAATTTCGCGAAATCGACGGTATTCTACCTAGAACTGTGCCCTCGTGCTCTTTGTCGGAATAAACGGGTCGGGGATTGAAGAAGGGCGGAGAGAGCGTCGACGGAAACGAGGCCGACGAAGGAGAAGAAAGAGGAGCGAGAAGAGAGAAGGAGTCAGGCTTGGAACAAATGAGAGGTTATTTCAGGCAGTCGACGTATGTATGTTCGGTACCCCGTCTCAACCATCGACCCGAGTTTTCGACTTTGCATTTTTACCGTGAAACTCGCGGTTTACTCTTAAACCTCTTGCCTTCTCTTTCCTTTTATCTCCACCGACTGTATTCGCCGCGGGAATGATGAGCTCTAAAAAAAACCTGCACGGTGTAAGGCTGGAAAAACAGCGTAGCGATAAAGTAACGCGTCGCGGACTCGATCGGGAGCGAGTGTCTGACTACTAGTGACCGTACCGATCTACTCGCGGTTCGCCGACGCGTTAACGCGAACGTGTCCCGAATCGCGACGTCGCGACGCTTTTCACGAGAATCGCGCGAGATACGTTTCCACCCTCTGCGAGATAACGCTGTATTTTTTCTTCCACCGAATACGATTATACGTTATCGCGCCAGACTCTAACGTTCCACCGTGCACGCTCGATTCGTTTCGTCGTTGCGTCTACTCGAACAAAGAGCCGAGCACGGAATAAGATAACGCGCAAACATTCGAGTATGTATTAGGGAAGCGGGACAAGTAGCGCGCGTAATAAGCTTTATTGTGTACGAGATGATGATCTCGTTTCCACGTGTTCCCCGATTCTTCGTTGCTTTTCCTCCGCTTTGTCCGGCGCGAAATTAATTACCTTGAAATTACGCGCGATCGACAAAGGAAAAATGACCGGAATGTACAGTCGAGGAACACGGTCCGCCGTCGTCGTCGTCGTCGTCATCGTCGTTGTTCATTGTTAATGAATAAGAAGGCTCGCTGACATCGTCTCGTGCCTTGTCGCGATACAGAGGGAAGAATGCTACCTCGAGGAATCGTTGACAGGGTAGATCGCGAAATCTTCCCGAGCGTCAATCGAATTTCGATTTAGTCGGAAATCGCGAGACGTTATATTCCACAGGGAGAATGGTACGATTAACGTAGACGCCGAATTGATTTCGCCGTAACGAGAGGAGAATTCTCGGGCGAGGAGGGTAGAGAAGAGCCTCCTCGTTTCGGTAAACCCAGCGAAGACTCGACTCGTGGGACGCGATTTGAATAATCGCGATGGCTCTTGAATCGGAAAAAGAGTGTCAATCTGCACGCTCGGTGCATGGAAGTCTCTCGAACGAACGCGTATGGAAAGCGCGGAGAATATAGGAAGCGCGAGAAGCAAGAGAAACGCGAGGACCGCTACCATTAGCGACGCGACTGACACAGCGACGACGAGGACGAGGACGAGGACAAGCCAACGGCGGCTGCCCAATTAGCGTTAATCCTTGTTAATCCGCGTCTCTCCAATCTGCATTCCTTTGTTCTTCGTTCGGGCCGCTTCGCGGGCCGACTATCGCGACAGTTTACAACGAGAGAATATTTCGAGCCGGAGGGGGAGTACGGAGGCGCGGGACACAAGAACGGAAACTAAACGTGGAAATGGGGGAAAGCGTCGATACCGGGGAAGCACGCGGAACGACGACGGGATTCCTATCTCCCGGTGAGTTCCACGGCAATTTTATTCACGACTGTCGATTCTTTTTCGGCGAAACGTTGACGAGAAGGGAGAAAGGCGCGACGAGACGCAAGGGTGAACTCGAGGAAATATCGGGTAACGAGCAACGCGCGCGCGTGTCCAGATTGCAACGCGACGAAAATCAAGATCGCGCGTGTGAGAAAAACGTAGGAAACGGCAATAACAACGAGTTTCCGATGAATGGGACTCGCGATCGGAAAAAAGAAACGACCCGGTGCAACGCGTTCTCGGGCCGAATGGCCCGGTTGGCATAGGCTGTTAGCCAAAAACTCAACTGCGACCGATCCTTTTCTCCTCGTCGGCCAATGAAACGAACGTTGGCCGGAGAACGAACGCGGGAAACGAAAAGTCCGAACATGCTGGCTGTACACGATGTGCACGGTGTGCACGAGATGCCGGCAGAGATTCGCGAGATCGGTCACATCGGGAGAGATTGTTTCCGATATACACAGAGAGAGAGAGAGAAACGGAGGACAAAGAGTAACGCGACGCGTTCAGAAATATTTGTCTCTTGGTAGCGACAAGGCATTGTACTCTCATCGACGGATCCTACCTGTGTGGACGCCTCCGGCCGAACGACGGGACAAAACTTTTGGATACGCGCGCAAAATCAAAAGTACGAGGGTAGAGAAGCGAGGAAGGGCAGGGTGGCCGTTCGACTGACGGATACAGAGAGATAGGCGGCTGCTGAACAAAGGGACCGAGACAAGGAGAACGATCAATGAGAGATGACGGACGCGCTCGCGAGGCCGAGTTGGAGAGAGAAGGTTACGCGTTTAAACTCGGAACTGAGAAAGAGGGAAGAACGAGGACCGGCGTCACCGGTCGCTCCACTCACATTGTTACCATAATCGGCCTCGGTTGGGCTCATTGTTTGTCATTCAATTTTCCCGCTGGATTTCCACCGTGGACAATGGCAGGGACGCTTTATAAGTCGCGGGAATTACACGGGCGAACAAAGCTCGTAAATATATCCGTTGAATCGTGAAAAACGTCCTGCTACTGCTCCCTCTTGCTACGCCGCGAATGAAACTCTCTCTTCTCTGTATGTGCTCCTGCACCGCGCGACACCGCCGCGTTCCACCCTTCCTCCGCCCCGTTCTAGCTGATCCTCCCTCGTCACCCTGTCTCCAACATCCCGTCGTTCTTTCGGTCTAGCTTGCGCGTAAAATGCGCCGCGACTGTATCCTTTCGCGCGGACGCGCTTATATCGGGACGAGCGTTCTCGCGCCTGATACGTACCGGAGGCAACGTACCAGCCAGCCGACTAACTGGCCAGCGGCTGGAAACGCAACGGATACCGAGGCCGGCGGCGAGTGTACGCGCCAACGGACCAGCGCCAACCATTCTCGTAAATCAGTGGAATTCCGGCTCCGTTCCGGCACAATTTTATGATTTAATCCGGTGAATGCGCGAAGGCTGTGGTCGCGGTAGCTTCGAAATCCGAGTTCGCGATATACCGGCTGCACTTGCCGAGATGAATTTCGCACGGCGCCAAATGGTGACCGCGTGTAAAAATGGTTTGCGGCGGCCGATGGGCGGATGGTGGATGGCCATAGGACGATGGGTGGCTACCCGAGGGGGTGACGGCGGGTGCCGGGTGGAACGCGATACGAAGAGGCGACGCAACGCGACGAACAACGCGACGCAACACCACGCAGCCGTTCGACGCTCGGCCAGCGTGAAATTTCAGGACGCTGACCGACGTGCGTCGCAATTTCTCCGAATTTTCGATCGGTTTGAGAGCGTTATTCGGTTAAACCGATAACGAAACGAGCTCTCGATTACGAGATTGACAGCGTGCACCCGATCGATTCCCGGTCAACCTGCACCCTCGTAATTTTCCCCTCACGGGCCTCCTCCTCTCCGCTAGCCTGCGCGTACTTTTCCCACGGACGACGAATGATGCCAACAACGACCGGTCGTGGTTTACTACGCGGCTGGCACCGTGTCCTTCTCCCCTTTCTTACCGAATCCGCGTAGCCTTGATCGCGGATTAAGAATCGTCGCGAAGGGGCATCGCATCACGAAGGGTAGCTAGAGCGCGAGATCGGTTCGCGTGACGGCCTAGACTCAGCTAAACAAAAGGTTTCTCGTATTCGTAAATCGCAAATCGAATTAAACTCTCAAGCGGCACGCCATTCCCGATCGCGATTCGTCGTGCGTATAAAAGGAAAGGATCGCGACAGACCGAGTCAAGTGAGTTGCGGATCGTATTCACAACTTCTTCACCGCGTCTCACTTCAAACCGTGTGCATTAAACCTTGCTCCTTTTTTCAACGCGAGTTACTCCAAACCAAACTTTTTATTCACTCCCGATAGCATATTTCGAATCCACATCCCTGCCGGGTCCTCACCGGTCCGATCGAATTGTAAAACAGACCAGATATCCCGCGATCTGTGGCTGCTTGAAACAGCTCTACGAATCCCGTGTACCGAGCGGAAAACTTTTCGAGTCGTGCCGGGATGTTCTTGCATAATGAGACTATCATTAACGGTCCACTGGCTTTCATCGGCGAGGAAACGGGGTGTGTACACCGAATATCTCGATTATTTCCCCATCTTTTCGAGATAATCGTGTTTTGCTCTATGAATGGGAAAATCGCGTTTTCCATCTCTGATATTCGCCGCGATCGAATTAACCGTGCTTCGGAAAAACCTACGCTCACCGACGCGAATTTTCCGGCAACGTTTACGAAAAACATGGTAATTAAACTGTTCGCTTACCCATTCCGTGCAGGTATGTTCCGTCGATGCGAGAAAGATTTCTGGGTTGGAATGTGCCGCCAGAGAATTCCGATCTCGTACACCCCCATTGGAGAGGATTCCTTGCACCTGGAAAATTTTGGCACATTGGACTGGCGCTCATCTACACGATACTGTTAGTAATGTCTGTCGTAGGAAATTCTTGCGTCATATGGATATTTAGCACGTAAGTTTGAAATTCGATTCGTAAAATCTTGATATACCTACCGCGAGAATAAGCGCGTGGTACACGGTGAGATCACCGGGAAGGGTTGTGCTGTGCTGCCCTCCCTCGGCTAACCGTGGAATGCACATCCGCGTGTGGATCGATCGTGTTCTCGAACGTCGTACATGTACCGACTACCGCCGCCACGTGCCACGGGAATTCTGTACCGATCGAACATCCAGTGACATTCGAACTCGGTATTCGTTTCAGATCAAAATCGTTGAGGACGCCTTCGAACATGTTCATAGTTAGCCTGGCGATATTCGACATAATAATGTCTTTCGAAATACCAATGTTCGTGATAAGCAGTTTTATGGAACGTATGCTCGGTTGGGAAATCGGCTGCGCTATCTACGCAGCCTTAGGTTCGGTCTCTGGAATGGGGCAATCCATTACGAATGCCGCCATCGCCTTTGATCGATACAGGTTACGATTATTCTATTTGGTTACGATCCAGTTACGATCGACGTAAACCCTGCGAGGATACTAAACACGCTATGCTTCTTTTCGCAGAACCATTTCCTGCCCGATCGATGGACGGCTCAACTCGAAACAAGCCGGGGTAATCATAGGTCTCACGTGGTTCTGGGTGACACCGTTCACTGTTTTACCGCTGCTGAAAGTCTGGGGTCGATTCACTACCGGTAACAAATTCTCGAAAATTTCGACTCCCTTATTTTTACTGAAATATACTCTTTCCGCGCGTTTCACTTTCTTTCACGTTATCGCTTTAACCATTCCAGAGGGTTTCCTTACCACTTGTTCGTTTGATTTCCTCACCAACGATCAAGATACGAAAGTTTTCGTGATGTCTATCTTCATCTGGTCCTATGTGATTCCTTTAACTTTTATCGTATACTTTTACTCTCAATTACTCAAGTCTATTCGTAATCACGAGAAGATGCTACGAGATCAGGTCGGTTGGAAATCTGTTTTCTCCTCAATCTCTTACTCGAGAATCCATAAAGCGATTATACCCGGCTCGATAAACTGTTTACGCTTGCTCCACAGGCAAAGAAGATGAACGTGAAATCACTGGTGTCGAATCAAGATAAGGAGAGGAGCGTTGAATTGAGAATCGCTAAAGTCGCATTTACCATCTTCTTCCTCTTCCTTCTAGCGTGGACACCATACGCGACTGTCGCTTTAATCGGAGCATTTGGCAATCGGTAACTGCTTCGAGTTCCCTTCGAAAATAATATTTTCATGACACACTTGCGACGACACGTATAATTATCGTTGCAGAGAACTTTTAACGCCGATAGCTACGATGTTACCTGCAGTGTTTGCGAAAACCGTATCTTGTATCGACCCATGGATTTATGCGATCAGTCATCCAAGGTAACTAATCGCTCGCCATTTTCCACGATATCGTCGACGTGAATACAAACGGAACGATTATCGTTCTCTCTCTCTCTCTCTCTCTCTCTCTTTCTCTTCCATTGCGCAGATATCGACAAGAATTGCAGAAACGGTGCAAGTGGATGGGCATTCACGAACCAGAAACAACTCACGATTCCGCCTCTGTCCAGACTGAAAAGGTCAAGACCGATGATGCATAAATCGAGCGTCCTAAACTTTGCAACTCGATGCGCTTGTTGGCATGGCTGTTTTTCGAGTACTTGGATCGAGATGCACTGAACAAGCCACCACGAGTGCCATCTCGATCTTTCGTCTTTGGTTTTTACTTTCAATTTCCGTATAAATACGTGGAGTCTGAAATTCTACGTAATTATACACGACAGATTGCAACATACAATCGATTGTACTCTTATTAAAGCATTATTAAAGTAAATTACACAGCAAAACGTTTCGTTAAACTTTACCTTTCGCTCCATGTCGTCCTTGCCAAGCGTTTTGCCTTCCCACGCGTTCCCGCGTTTTTCCATCGGAATGCCTGTATTCATTTCTCTCCTTCAAGCTTTCCTCCTCGCAATTATGGCATCACGATGAGTCCACAGATTCCCCGTGTTTGTGCTTGACACTTTTTTATGATTCCACGGTTTCACGTTCGTTTCGATATGCATCACGCGACAAAATTTAATTTTCTTTCAAACGTCACCATCTGTCCGATGCCATATTGCAATTGAACTGCTTCTTGATGCGCAGAAGAGGCTGCGCGGTGACTTGCGCTGTAACCTGCGCAGAAACAAACGCGCGGTAAGCAACGTGAATTTCAAACGCGTCAAAGTTCATTCCACTCGTTAATACGCCGATGGTAAAACGAAAAATTTTTCAACGTCTGTTATTCGAGTAGATAGATATCCACGTTTAATTAAAGCAAAAGAATTTTCATAATCGAATAGCCGTTACGAGATTTTTAAAGCATCGTTAGCTGCAAAAACGTACGCGATGGATTTTCTTTTAATAACGAATCTTCCTTCGCGACACATAAATCGCTTTTGCTTGTTTCAACGCACAGAAGAGAGCAAGGAAAAGCGTAGTTTGTGCTGGTGCTTGTTACGAAAAATTGAGAGGATCCTCTTACATTCTCGTTATACTGATCCCCTTAACTCTTCTGGAATTTTCGTTCTTAAGATTCCCAGAAAGATGATATTTTACGCGAAATACACCAAAGGAAAAGCCATTTTATAACGCAAATTCGCAAATTCGCAAATTCGCAAATGTAATATTATGCAAATGTTATACTTCTTTTGCACACACGAATCCATAAAAACACGTTTCATTCGTTGAAACACGATACGAAAATTCTTTCGATTAGACGTACATAAAAGCACATGAACAGTATTATATTCATCAAACAGATGATTAAATAAAAGCGAACGCTTTTAAACAACTGCTATTTGTCGACGAAAAGCAGACCATTCGCTTTCCATCTGAAACAATGATTTCTCGTCTAGTATTCTCTATAGCATTGGGATATCGAAGATGATTTATCCTGTTAAAAATTCTACTAATCGCGTTGATTGGTGACAAGTAGTATAAGAGGATATCGATGGAACGACGCGAGATTCAAATGGTGGTTTTTGCCGTACGAAGAATCCGGTTTATCGAGAAAGGCAAAAGACGATTACGTGGGCATAGAATACAACGGTGAAAGTTTAGTCGGAATGCTTGTAACGTCGGTGGATCGTGTACGTACATGCAGATAGTATATTCGCGTGGCTCCCAGGATAGTAGGCGGAGTCAACAGATAGCCCGGCAGTTCAGTTAATATGCAGTTAGTACGTCATTTGTTTCTCGCCGCTGGGAGGGCTTATCGTAATCTCTGACGTCATGGCTCCACACGATTTCTCGCGTTAGCAACGCCTAGCTCACAGATCGACGAATTCGCGGATTTTCTGAATACGGAACATTAAGCGCACCACCGCGGAGACTTGGACGATCGGAGGAAAACATTTTTCTACTATCGAGAAGTAATTACATATTCTCTTTCCATCTCTCTCTCTCTCTCTCTCTCCATTTTCTCTCTTTCGTCATAAATTTAAATCGATTTTCGTCGCAACTTTGCTGATTCATCCGATGAAATGTACAGGCGAGTCACCGGACGATAGAATTTCCAATCGACCGAGATTCCATCGTATTTGCCGCACTCGACCATCCTTTTTCCTTCTTCCTCCGTTTTGCGCACGCGACTTTCGCGCAATCAAAGTTTTCCATGGTACGTCCTGCTATGGGTAAGCCGAAAAAGGAACGAAACGCGTTCGAGGAAGGGATTGAGAGGAAAGAATGAAAAGAAAGAGAGAGAGAGAGAGAGAGAGAGAGAGAGAGAGAGAGAGAGAGAGAGAGCGAGAGAAAGAGAGGGAGGGAGATTCGCGAGCGTGAGGGGAAAGAGAGAGAAGAAAGAAGCGAGTACAGTTTGGCAGGACGAGGGTTCTGGCTTCGAAGAAATCCTTGATTAGATGTTCCCGTCAAAGGAACTCTTCGTTTTCTGAGAATCGTGGGGTGGCAAGGGGCAGAGTACCGGAGACAGATAAAGTGTAAGTAAGAAAAGAGCGAGCGTGGGAAGCAAAAGAATCGGTTTGGAAAGCGAATTAAAAATTGTTCCAGTTCGCGAACATCGAAGAATCGAGGAAGCCAGAAAAAGAAAAGGGCGAATAAGGCGGCGTTTTAATCGAAGAAGACTCGGAAGGGATTGCGCCGTACCGAGAATAGAAAGGAACGATCCCACTCGGTTTAAGATACATCCCATCCTATTTCCTGAGGTCGCACCGGCGACGACCAGTTATGGATGTTGAAAATTCAATTACGCGGGATTTATGGCTGCCGACGCTTGGCATATTTATTGTCGCAGCATCTCATTCTAAGGTAGCTGTAGTCCGTATCAAATATTGCTCGCAAATGCGCGTTCCATCGCGTTTGATAGTTACCTATACGTTCCCTTTTTCATTCGAGCTTCTTCGAGTCAAGGTACAGCGAGAGCGAGAAAGAGAGAGAGAGAGAGAGAGAGAGAGAGAGAGAGGAAGAGAGACGTCTGCATCCTTGGAGATATCGATGGGTTGTCGCGTCGTGCTCGCGAAATAACAGAATGCAGCTGTCTCGACGAGCAATCAAACTGGAAGCACGTTAAGAGTTATTCGTGTACACCCTTCGAACATTATCAGAGAATAGACAGGTGTTTTACAGCGTTTAGGTACCTCGCTTTACAACGCCGACCTTTTTAAAGCTGTCTTAATCCCCGTTAAGCACGGGGCAATAAACTCTGCAGTGCTCATTAAGGCAGACTCCATAGTCTTTTTATTCGTCCTAGCACGAGATGTATATTAACGCGGTAATAAATATCATCCTTATCGGTGGCGTTTCGCCACCTTGTTATCGCGTATTGATTTTTCAGCGAGAAAGCAGCAAGACGAAATGCGTGGACGAGCTTCAGAAATTTTCAAGAAAGAAAATAGACAGGATGGTTTGGTCGTTGATGCGTTGCAGTCGCTATTATTCACCGACGCGTACGGTACGTTCGACTTGTCATTCCTAGACGGCATGGCAGGCGAAAAAATCACGACTCGGCGTCCCTATTCGATCGCGTATTTCATTCGAAACGTCAGACAGAATTCAGCTGTAAAACTTCCGTTCGAATAGAGAATTTGCTTACCCAGAGAACTCCATCTTCGACGATCTTATCGGCACGACGCAGCGATTTATCTCCCGTGCCACGAATCTTTGGTCTGCTTTATCGGTATCGCCGAATTCGTCCAGTGGCTCACGGTAAACGAGAAAAGCGACGTCTTTCCCGAGGAATCGCGCGCTGCTAGGACGATACCTAGGAACATGGCGCGCACTCGGCGTACTCGCTGCTGTTAGCCAACCAATTTCAGACGTTATTTAGTTAAATTCTCCGTGCTTCGAGAAGGAACAAAAGAAGCGAAGATGAGCGAGAAGCGCATATAGACGGTAGAGAATGCTCGTCTGGCGGTAGAGAATTACGGTAGACAGAAGTTTGAGGGACGGAAGAAAACGGTGAAACTAATTTCAAAGCTGTTAAGAGCATTACGAAAATATGTACTCGTCGGAAGTACAGGCGCAACGTTGATGCGTACAGGCGCAACCAGAGACGCGGGTATATTTACGGGTGCGTGAAGCGATAGACACGGGAACGAGTAATGGACGATGTATCACGGAACAAAACGAAGGTACAGCTTTAGAAATGAAGTCGACGAGAGTTGGGAGAGAGGGAGAGACTGCCGTTTTGCGCAACGATTAGAGATACTTGGGTTAAATCCTTTCGAGGCGGGAGTCCAGGGATTCCGGGCCGAAACTGGTCAGCGAGGAAGGGAAGGAAAGATGAGAGGAAAGAGAAGCGGAAAGAGTATAAAGAGAGAAGAGAAAACAGGTGAACGAGTTAAATCGAAAGGATGGTAGAGAAAGAGAGACTGATTAAGGTGGAAAGAGTAAGTTGGCCCAGTGCGATGCAGCTTGGACAATAGTTGGCCGTCGTCGAGGGGCTGGCCAGGGAAAAGGTTGGAAGAGAGGAGTCAGCTGAGAGAGAACGGCAAGGGGGAACTTGTGAACCCTCTCCTACAGACTGAAATACTAAAGCGAGCTTAAGTGCGTTGCCATAGGGACCAGCTGGAGTCGAGGGGCGAGATCGCGGTGGATGGGGTTGCCGCGAGAGAAGGTCGTGCCACGTCCCGTCTACGCCGCGTAGTTTCCGAAACGCGCTAAACCGCTCGGAAGTAGCCAACGTCGAGATTTGCTCGCTTTTCTCCACGCGATTCCGAACCGTACACGCCGCGCGTTTACTTTGGCTTCTTAGACTCGCGCGAACGAGTCTCGCGAACGAACACGTACGTACGAAAATAAACAGTCCGTTTCGGTATTCTCGTTGTTCGAGATATACTAAACGTTTCCTCTTCTTTCCTCCGCAGCTCTCGCGCCTCTCGTTCCGTTAAACCGCAACCGGTAACGCGAATTCGAAGAAACATCTACTCGCCGGCTGAGTTGTCGTATACCTCTACTACTGAACGGGGCGTGTAGTATGGTATTGCTCGATTTATTATTTACAGCGCATGCTGTCGCACGTCCGTAACAATACTTCGTAAGTCCGTAATTTGCATCTCGTTGCAAATGTATTCCGTGTCGTTCGTGTATCAGCTCGCTGGCACGGTCGTTAAACGAGTTTCCTCTTTCCTCGTTTCTCCTTTCCTCTTATCCGCTCGAGAACGCTGCTACAGCATTCCCTTTCCCGTTCCCCCGAATGATTCAAGGATTCCTCTCGGTAGTTGACGCGGCAGTCGCACGAGAAAAATAAAAACTTGATTATTCGCTTCACGATTTACTCGATCATAATTGCGAGTGACGTTCCGCTTCGATCGACGCGAAAACTCGTGCGGCCGAAAAC